TGAATTCTTGTAAAAAACTTTCTCGTGTTAATGGGGATGATGGTACTTAAACAAAATTGGTGTTGCTATTAGGGGGAGTAGAATCTTTAGGCACATTAAAATTTAATCAAGATACTGTTAGAAATAGTGTAGCTAAAATGATCATTCTAGATGAGTTGCCATTTAAATTTATGGATGAGGAAGGATTTAGGTATTACATGTCAGTTGCATATCCTAGAATTTGGGTACCATCATGATGGATAGTTGCTAAGGATTGCTATCAGTTTTATATTGATGAAAAGAATAATTTGAAGCAATTCATGAAATCATTTTCCACAACATTATCTCTTACCATTAATACATGAACCTTATTACAAATGGTCAATTATATATGTTTTATAGCTCACTTTATAGACAAAGATTGGAAACTAAACAAAAAGATATTAAATTTTTGTCCTGTTTCTAGTCATAAAGGTGAAGCCATTGGTAAGGCGATTAAAAAATGTTTGTGTAATTGGGGGATTGATAAGATTTTTACTGTTATAGTTGATAATGTTAGTTCTATTGCAATTGCATATTTGAGAAAGAAATTTAACAATGCTAGAACTAGTATTTTGGGAAGCAAATATCTTCATTTGAGATGTATTACACATATTATTAATTTTATTGTTTGTGATAGATTGAAAAAAATGAATGAATCAATTGCTCATGTTAGAAGGGCAGTAAGATATATAAGATAATTACCTTCTAAGTTAGCCAAGTTTAAAAATTATGTTGTGATTGAACATATTCGGAGTAAGGGTTTATTGTGTTTAGATGTTAGCACTAGATGAAATTTTACTTACTTTATGTTAGATGTAGCTTAAAAGTTTGAAAGGGCATTTAAAACATTTGATGATCTTGATCCTTATTATAGAGGTGAGCTTTTGATGGGAGATGGGGTGACCGATCAAAATGATTGGGCAACTGTTAGAAAGTTTTACCTTTTCTTACAATAATTTTATGATCTCACCATGAAAGTTTTAGATACTTCTTACTTCATATCTAATACTTTTCTTAATGATATATGTGATTTTATTCCACTTTGTGAGAATGGTAATTAAATCCTGATGTTGAGTTGAATGCAATGGCAAAAAGAATGAAGGATAAATATTATAAGTATTGAAAAATATAAAGAAGATGAATTTGTTAGTTTATATTACTTCTCTTCTTAATCCTTCAAAATAGCGTCTTTTTGTTGAATATTACTTTATGAAAATGTATTTTTCTGATGAAGCTTCATTAATGATTAAGAAAGTACAACAAGCAATAGAAAACTTGTTCAATGAATACAAAAGAATGTTAGAATCTCAGTCTGAGTAAATTGGTGAAAGTAGGCAAGTAAGCCAAATATCACAGCCCATTGATGATGAAAGTGAAAATGGAATGATAAACAAGAAGTAAAGCTTTAAGTCCAAGTATATGAGGTATAAGATTGAACATGGAAAAGATGAATATAAATTAGAATTGGCTAAATATTTAAGTGAGAAGCCTGATGATGATGATAGTAATGAGTTTGATGTTTTAACTTAGTGGAAACTCAATAACCATAGGTTTATTATCATTTCCTATCTAGCTCGTGATATATTAGCAATTCTTATATCCATAGTTGTTTTTGAATCTTTTTTTAGCATTTATGGTCATGTGCTTAATGCATATATGAGTTCTTTAACTCTTAAGATTATGCAAATCTTTATTTGTGCTCAAGATTGGCTACATAGATATTCTAATCTTGATTCATTTCAACTTGAATATGATTTGATACAACTTAACAAAATGGATTTGGATAATATTTTATTTATACCATTATTTATTTTTTAAGTATTATTATTATTTTTTATTTTTTTAAAGCTTACTTTTGTTTTTTTTTTTGTTTATATATTTTTAAATTTGTCAAAAATTACCTTAGATCCGATAATTGATTAAGAAAATAGGTGCATTGACCTTTTAAGATAACTTCATTATTAATTTCTATGAATATTTGCATTTTGAAAATATTTATTTTATTATTGACAACTAATTAATGTTTTGATCTCTTTAACATCTTATGAAACAATGAAGAATGTGCACCAAAGCTATGGGGTTCATGTAAGAAAAATGCTATTAGAACCTGTAATGTCCTTTAATTAGCTTATTTTATGTTTTTTATGAACTTTTATATCCATTTGCCAACATGAAGTATCCTTAACTTGTTTTATATTTTGTATGAGCTGTTAGCTGAATTTGCCAACTTAAAATGTCTTTAATGTTTTGCATCAAAGTTATGAGAGCTGTATTTACTTGATTTGCTTTTTTAAGTTGGCCTGTTAACACTTGAAAACTTGTTTATGGGTTGAAATGATAATTATTATGTATTGTTGGCTTTATTTGTTATGTGATATATGTTAGAGTAATATTTTTTAAAACTTATTATTTAATTTATTTTGATTAAACAAGTTTGAATGAGTATTTATTTATCTTTTCTTTTGTAAAATGTTGTTGAAATTATTAAATTCTTTAATGATTTAGTTTGAATGATACATGAATTTGAGTTTTTATTGGATTGAATCTGTAGTAAAATAATTATTCAAAATAGGAAAAAAATGATGAAAATTTTAGTTATTTAACCGAACTGATTGAATCGAATTGAATCGAACTAAATCAAACCAATTTTTGATCGATTCAGTTAAATTGGTTATTTAAAATTTTGTTGATCAGTTCAGTTACTTATAGAATAAAAGTCAATTAATTTGGTTATTAATTTTTTCAGACCAAATCGACTAATTACCCACCCCTATCGGTGATGGGTTAGTGAAGTGATAATGGTGGCTTAGGTGTCAGTGAAAGGGAATGTGGTGTTTATTGCCAAATGGTTCAAAGGCAATAAGGTGGAAAATGGATTTTCTGGTTGTGGTTCTCTATGTTTTTTGCTGGTGTTTTGGTGAAGCTGTTATGGTGGTATGGGGGTTGTCTGGTGTTGCAAGCAAATTATGGTTTGAGGATAGGTAGTAGATTTAGGGTTTGTGTTAGGTGTAAGGGTGGTTGATGGGAGATCCTTCCTGGAAGTTGGGGAAAAAGTTTGTTTTTGTTTTTGTTTTTTTTTTATTTTTTGTTTTTTTTGGTGTTGGTCTTTGGCAAGAAATGGTAGTTTGATGGTAAATGCAAAGCAGTTTGTGACTATCAATGGAGATGGTGGTTTGGTGTTATGTTGGTTCAAATGGGTTATTGTGTGGATTGTTTCGTTGAACGGGGGTTTTTGGGTAGTTTTGTGAATGAAGTTTTTGTTCTCGTCTCTCATGCCAAATGATGCTTGTGGATTTTATCTGTGAACTAGGGTTGTAACATTCCAAAGTTTATCAACTTCTAGTGGCCAACAAGCTATTGGTTGTAAGGTGTAGGGGTAGTGGGACTTCAACTGGTTGCTGGCAATGCCGACTTCAATCTGTCTTCTTGCTTTTTTTTTTAATTTTTTAAAATTTTCCATTTAATTAAAATATTTAAATAAAATTGGCCTTTAAATTCTTAGGTTTTAAATTGGTTTTTGGGCCTTTTAAATTGAAAGAGTTAAATTCTATATTAATCTATACCAAATTGGGCCTTAACTCAAATAAAATTAGATTTGATTTTATCCTATAAAATATGATCTAAAAGTAATTAATTAGAAATAAATCCAAATAAATTTTAATTACATTGCTTAAATTACCCAAATTGAAACATCCAAATCAAATACAAAAATCATAAAAACTTAAATTGATTTGAATAAAATTAAATGTCTACATATGACATATATATTTTTTAATACTAAGATTTTGATCTATGAAATGAAACGAACTCTCAAATTTTAATAATTAAGAATTATTTTCAATCTTTGTCTCAATATGCATATAGAACTTGAAATTATCTTTTAGACTTCATGTTCAAGTTTTATCGGATGCAGATTTTATTTGATTATATATTAACTTATTAAAATTAATTAATTAATTTATTTGAATTTTCTTTTACTTGATATGTGTTAAAGATTACGTGATGATTATAATTCTATTAATAAATCTAACTTCATAAAATTATCAATTAAAACATGTTTTGTTCTAAATTGAAATACAATCACTTATATTAAAATTTTAATATTTTATTAACATATTTTATGTATATTATCAATTAAAAGATTAAAAAAAAAAAAAAAAAGACAAAAGCATAAACTTGTTTTTTCCTTTCCCCACTCTATTTCTCTTTTTATTTTTGTTGTTTTAATCCAAGAAAGATTCAAGCATTAGTTTTTTGGTCAAGTAGGATTTGAAATTGTAAACAATTAACTTTTTATAAATTTTGATAAAAAAAATTTATTTATAAATTAAAGACCAACCAATGAAATTGATATCTTTACTAATGCAAATTATTGTGCAAAGACCTTGAACAAAATATTTTAAAGCAAGGAAGAATTAAAATGAAAGAAAAAAATAATTTAATTTATTATTTATACAAACTATGCTTTATTCATTTGTTAATATCATTTTTTTTTTTAAATCTCTCTCTCCCTTCATCATGAAAATCAAGTTATCTTTTGAATTTTCAATTTGTCACTCTAATTTCGAGTTGGAAACCCCACATCAATATGTAGCTAGCCGCATTAAATGAAATTAAAAGGAAAGAAAATCTTTTCAATTTGAAGTCAGACACGTGGTTGAATGGATGCAACTCCACTAGCAAATGAAACGACTCTAGAAATAAGAGAGGCCGAAGCCTGAAAGTCACCCCCCCAATTTGGAAAACGATTCTAGAAAAAAGGACTATTGTTTATTTGCGCACGCGTTATTCATGCAACAATTAATCTTTTCTCGCGTGCCAAACAGCTTGAAATTATCGAAATCAATAAAATGGGTTCTACTATTTGAAGGAATATTGGATACTTAATTAATTGACTTTTTTTTCCATTTTTTGGTCCCCACCTTCTTACCATTGGAAAAACAAGTGACCCAATATTATATAAAGGCATGGCTTCTCTTCATATCATTCATCTCCTCATAAGTCATTACCCCTTGTTGTTAAGCTTTCCCTTCTTTGATTTCTTCAGCTTTTGTTAATTGTTGTTGTTTTTTAATCAATGGATTCAGAACTTTCCTTGTGGCTTTGCTCCATGTGCAGTGTTTTCTGCCTTATGTTCTTCTCTTTCACCCTCTTGTTTTCTTTGTTTTCATTGTTGATCTTAGTTTTGAGGATGAAGGTATGGTGTAATTGTGAAATCTGCCAGGCTTTTCTTACTTCGAGTTGGAACGAAGAATTCGATAATCTTTCTGATTGGTATACTCACCTTCTTAAAAAATCTCCCACCGGAACGATCCACATCCATGTTCTTGGCAATATCATCACTGCAAACCCTGAAAATGTGGAGCACATTCTGAAAACCAGGTTTGAAAACTACCCAAAAGGGAAACCTTTCTCTGCTCTTCTTGGTGATCTTCTTGGTAGAGGTATTTTCAATGTTGATGGTGATTCATGGAAGTTTCAAAGGAAAATGGCCAGCCTTGAGCTTGGTAGCATCTCCATAAGAATGCACGCGTTTGATATTGTCAGGTCCGAGATTCACTCCAGGCTCATCCCTCTTTTATCATCCGTTTCTGGTAAAGAACAAGTTTTAGATTTACAAGACGTGTTTAGAAGATTTTCATTCGATATTATCTGCAAATTCTCCTTCGGGTTAGACCCTGGTTGCCTCAATTTATCACTGCCCATTTCAGAATTTGCTGAAGCTTTTGATTTAGCATCCAAATTGTCGGCACAAAGAGCGGTGGCATCTTCACCTTTGATATGGAAAGTCAAAAGGCTATTGAATTTGGGCACAGAAAAGCAGCTCAAAGAAGCTATTAAAATGGTGGATGAATTTGCTCAAGAGATGATTAATCAACGGCGAGAAAAGGGCTTTTCAGACAGTAACGATCTTTTGTCAAGATTCATGGGTACAATCAATGACGAAAAGTATCTTAGAGACATTGTTATAAGTTTCCTCTTGGCTGGTCGTGACACGGTGGCCTCAGGGTTGACCAGCTTCTTCTGGTTGTTATCTCAGCATCCAGAAGTCGAGTCAGCTATTCGAGACGAGTTGGAAAGGTTCATGGGGACGTCCAGTGATCAACAGTTTGCAAGCTTTGATCAAATGCGAGAAATGCACTATTTACACGCGGCTTTGTACGAAAGCTTGAGACTGTTTCCACCAGTCCAATTTGATTCAAAGTTTGCTCAAGAAGACGACATTTTGCCTGATGGTACCTTTGTGAGGATAGGCACCAGGGTAACCTACCATCCATATGCAATGGGTCGGATGGACCGGGTTTGGGGCTCAGATTGTCTTGAATACAAGCCAGAGAGATGGTTGAAAAATGGCAGATATATCCCTGAAAACCCATACAAATTCCCAGTTTTCCAAGCTGGACAAAGGGTTTGTTTAGGGAAGGAAATGGCTTTGGTGGATATGAAATGTGTGGTTCTAGCCATAATCAGGCGCTACAGCATCCGGATTGCCGATCCGAATCAAGCACCAAGGTTTGCCCCTGGTCTCACCGCCACTGTAAGAGGTGGCTTACCGATTCTAGTCCAAGAAAGGGGAGCTTAATTTTAGACATGCATGCCCACAATTGTTGGGAATCATCTCATGCATAGTTAATTCACAACACGGGGGCGCAGCTGGTTAGCTTCTATTGGGGGGTAAATGCTTGGATATAAGCTGGCCCATCGTAGTTGAGTTTGAAAAACTTTTACCAAACATGGGACAGAGGGATATGTTTCTTCCTGTAATATTTTCGTCAGATATGGGGATTTTACCACACATATTGTACATATCTTAAATCCGTCATTTTCTTGGTACCAAAGGCTTAAAAATATAAGAGAGAATCTGAAACTACCTTGGTTGATGCAGTTACCTTTGGAAGTTGGTATTCGGTTTGGAGTTGGAATTTCGAAAACCTCATTGTAAAAACAAAATATTTAAGAGAGGAAAGATTCAAGCATTCCATATTCAAAAAATTTCAAATTTCCAACCTGTGTCTATCACACCAACAATTATATTACTCTCTTTTTGGAGATTTCTTTCAACTGATAAAGGCATGCCTAGAAAATCCCATGATCTTGTTGTGTGAAGCTGTCTCATACTGCTTGGGAAGACGGAAACCACATTTTCTTTCTCTGAAATCACTGGAAATAATCTCTCATAGTCATATAATATTGTTGCATATATAATATACTTACTGTAATCCAAAACTGGTATTTGCATATAAATAACCTTGCAGTCTTTCAGCTTCATCCGGCGACAAATATGCAGCAAATGCATTAAAACTTTTCCCGTAGCAGTAAATTCTGGACTGTCGAGCAGCTTCCTCACTAATAAAGATGAACTGTAGTGATTAGTTAATTAACTGATTATACTACTACATTTTAGATAGAAAATTAAGCTATATACATCACAGTCTAATTGATTGTTAATTCACTCTTTTAAACAACTTTCCAAACAAATTTGTTAAAAAGTAATGTCGCTTGTCCGATATACTAACAATTTATTTTGATTTTGAGTTACAATTAGGATTTAAACTCGAAACCAGGGGCGTAGCTAGCTAGGGGGCAAAAATAGGCTATGTCCCCTCAAAAAAAATTTTAACACCCTTATATGTATGGTACTCCTTTTCATAAAATTTATTATTTGATCCTATTCTCCTATTAAATTTATTATATGATCCTCCTTCTCACACCTTCTCTCTATATCTATATCTGATTTCACCTCTGCTAGAAACCCTTAATTTCAAAAACCCATTCTAGTACCACTAACTAATAATGACAATTTGGATAGTCACAAAACTTTTATAGGCATTTCTTTTTATGAATAGTCGGACAATTAGAATGTCAAACACTTTTAACATTTCTCATCTTTGAACTTGTCTGATTTGTGCTTAGAACACATAATAATTTTGTTATCACTTACTCTTCAGTAACTTTAGAAAGCAAGCTATGGTGATTGGCCACAGCTAGAGTTTTGATTTTCAAAGAATCTCCCACGTAAACGATGTAAGCCTGTTGCATGTCCTTAATAAAGAGAAAAAAAAAACTTTGTAAGTAGCAACTAAGCTTAGAAAAAAAAAAAAAAACTGCACACATAAATATAAGATTTCAAAGCTTCAATTAACACCTTTTCCTCGCCCTTGTCGGCAGCAGCATGGCCTAATGTCGACACAAGAAGGAATGTAGCCGAAAAAAAGAGACTGAGAATAACAATGTTTATTTCCATTGATTATATGAATCCTCCAATATATTTTTTTTTGGTGTTTCTCTTTGCTTGTCTGGTATATATATTGAGAGTGGGAGAATTTAAAATTTAAATACCATATCAGATAAGCATATAAATCATCTGTTTGAGTATTTTTGTTAAGATCACAAAATGGTTTTAAAATATAGAGAGATTTTGTATTTAAATTTGGGATATTAATTGAAGCTACTAGTTCTTAGCTTCTTGGATCCGAGTTAGTTTATTAATGGACTCTATCAATTTGAGCAACAACATTAATTTAAAGTAAAATTTGGCATCATTTTCAAAATATGAGATCACTAAAATGATTTGATCATTAATGATACTAAATTGTCATAATTAATGTAATAATAAAATTACTAGTGATATTAAATCAATGTATTTGATATTACATAGGAAAAATGATTGAATAAAAAATATTCAAAAAAACTTAAAAATGGTAATAATTTTAACTTTTATTGAGTTAACGATTTATAAAATGGCTAATCATTATTGTATAAAAAAATTGCAAAATATAAATCAATTTTGATGAAAATAATTCTTTAAAAATATTTATTCAAAGTCATGAACTGTTCTCATAAAATTAAGCTCACTTAAATTGACATGAAATTGAACTAATTAAATAAAAAAAAAATTTATAATCAATAGAAATCTACTTATAAAGAAATTTTGAAAGGAAACATATGTTCTTTTTTAGTTATTAATAGGGCAAATCAATCATAAAAGGACTTTGAAATTATTTTTCATGGTGATAAGATTTTTTAGATATTTTGAATGAAAATCAGCTTTTTTTTTTGTACAATAATTTTATCACCTTAGTTGATTTAAAATCACTGTCATATATGATTTTCAAGTTGCTACCAAATAGAATGATTTAGTCATGAATATACTGATTTTTAAATCTATCATCCCATAAAAAACTCTAGTTAAAAGTGAACATATAAATATATAATATGAAAAGATACGTGAATAACGAATGATAGGTAGAGACTTTTCTTATAATTTTTACTTTAACATAAAATTAAGCTGTAATAAATTTGTAATATAGACGCTAATTATACTATGAAGAATTAATTAGAAATTTTATAGAAAGAACTAATTAGTTTTGCATCCATTCAGACTTTTAGAGACTCAACTGCATTAAAAAAAAAAAAAAAAAAGGCAATGGAGTAAATAGAAACATTCATTAACTGTTCAAAGGAAGCAACATCCAATTTGGAATTCTTTATTTGATTGGCCAAGATTCAACGATATCTCTAATTTTTGCATATATAGATTGAGTTGGCTTCTTGTCATCAACAAAATCATTATAGTTTTACAAAAATAATCCAATTCTCTCCCTTCCCTTTTGACTACGCCTTTCCAAATCTGTTAATGGTTTTCTTCTGCTTTCTGTGGCAGAAATAGGAAGCGTCTAAAACCCTAAAACCAGTGAAGCTGCACTTTCTTAGTTAAAACATGGAGATCAGCATGTGAAAATTGAAAATTTATGCAACTTTCAAAGTGGGGTGGTGATTTTTTTTGCTGGAGTTTCTCGTTGCTTGTCTGGTATATATATTGAGAGTGGGAGAATTTAAAATTTAAATACCATAACAGATAAGCATATAAATCATCTGTTTGAGTATTTTTGTTAAGATCACAAAATGGTTTTAGAATATAAAGAGATTTTGTATTTAAATTTGGGACATTAATTAAAGCTACTAGTTCTTAGCTTCTTGAATCCGAGTTAGTTTATTAATGGACTTTATCAATTTGATTAACAACATTAATTTAAAGTAAAATTTGGCATCATTTTCAAAATATGAGATCACTAAAGTGATTTGATCATTAATGATATTAAATTGTCATAATTAATGTAATATTAAAATTACTAGTGATATTAAATCAATATATTCGATATTGCATAGAAAAAATGATTGAATAAAAAATATTCAAAAAAAACTTTAAAAAGGTAATAATTTTAACTTTTATTGAGTTAACAATTTATACAATGGCAATTCATTATTGTATACAAAAATTACAAAATATAAATAAATTTTGATAAAAATTATTCTTTTAAAATATTTATTCAAAGTCATGAACTGTTCTCATAAAATTAAGGTCACTTAGATTGACATGAAATTTAACTAATTAAATAAATTTATTTTTTTATAATCAATAGAAATCTACTTATAAAGAAATTTTGAAAGGAAACATACGTTCTTTTTTAGTTATTAATAGGGCAAATCAATCATAAAAGGATTTTCAAAATTATTTTTCATGGTGATTTTTTATACAATAATTTGATCACCTTGATTGATCTAAGATCACCGTCACATATGATTTTCAAGTTGTTACCAAATAGAATGATTTAGTCATGAATATATAGATATCATCCTGATTGCTAAATACATCATCCCATAAAAAAACTCTAGTTAAAAGTGAATATATATATATATATATATATTTATGAAAAGATACATGAATAACAAATGATAGGTAGGGACTTTTCTTAAAAATTTTACTTTAATATAAAATTAAGCTGTAAGAAATGTTGGGTCTAAAGTAATAAACATAAAAATACAAAAGTAATATATCGTAATAAATTTATAGTAATAGATAACAATCGATAATCAACAATGTAGGAAAAATAAAGTAGATTAAAATTTACATTGAAAATCTTCTTGTGTAGTGGAAAAAAATCACAGACCACTAGAAAAAAATTTTACTATAAAATAATAGATATACAAAGTTTGTTTCTAGCTAAAACTAGAGCTAATCAACAACTAAAGAAATAATTAAAGAAATCTCACCAAAAAAATAACTCAATAAATACACTCTAGATTTATTTTTAAAGAGCTTTAAACCCAATCATCATTGTTTAGAATGTAAAACTCTAAATCATAAACTTGTTGATAAAATTTCAGCTCAATCAAACTATGGATCAACTTTTGTTCAACTAACTCTCCCTGCTCCATTCTCTCTCTATTTTTCTAGCTTCTTTTTTCCATTTTCTTTTCTTGATTTGTGGTGCTACCTTATTTTTTCAACCTTAAAACAGCCCTCACCTCTTTTTATTAAGTAGTTGGGCTCTGTGTAAAAAGAAAAATCAAAGCCTATGGCCTTTTATTGGTCCAAAACTAATTACATGGGGTTGAACCCCACTTATCAAGAAAGAAAAAGCCAAAAAAATAGAGGGAAAAAGGAGAAGGAATAGTTGACTAAACGAAAATCGATCTGTAGTCTAATTGAGCTGAAATTTTATCAACATGTTTATGATTCAAAGTTTTACATCTAAACGATGAAGATCGGGTTTGAAGCTCTCTTTAAAAATAAATTCAAGGTATATTTGTTGAGTCACTTATTTGGTGAAATTTCTCCAATTACCTTTCTAGTTGTTGATTAGCTATAGTTTTAGCTAAGAAAAACTTTTTGTATACATTATTTAATAGTGAAGTTTTTTTTTTTTGGTGATCCATGAAGTTTTTCCTCTACACTGAAAGGTTTTTCACATAAATTTTGGTGTGCTTTATTTTTTCTACGTTATTGATTGTTGATTGTTGTCTATTACTATGGATTTATTATGATATATTGCTTCTACGTTATTGTGTTTATTGCTTCAGGCCCAATAAATGGTATTAGAGTAAAAGTTATTTTAAGACGTCAATACAGAAGCAACCAAGATATAAGTAATTTTGTTTAAGATCATAGAGGGTGATACAAGTTCTATGATAAAATTGTCAGCATCAAATTATTCAATTTGAAAAGCCTATGATGAAAGATCATTTATACTACAAAAATTTGTATGAGCCAATAATGGATGATTCGACTAAACCAGCAGATATGAAAGATGAAAGTTGAAAAAAATTAGACAAAAAGATGCTGGTTACAATAAAAAAATGGGTTGATATTAGTGTGTTCCATTATGTAGCATAAGAGATAGATACCCACTCTATTCGAAAAAAATTAGCAGTATTGTATGAAAGAAAAATAAGTATGAATAAAGTTATGTTTGTTAAAAAGCTTGTAACTTTATAGTACAATGATAGACATCGATTAAAGAGTACTTGAGTAATTTTTAAGATATATTTAATCGGATGACTACTATAGAACTTAAGATGGACGACAAAATAAAAACGTTGTTTCTTTTGGATTAATTGCCAAACAGCTAGAATATTCTAGTTGTGATTATTTTTAATTTAGCTCTTAATTATAATATGACATTGGAGAT